CATTTTTTCCAGATCCCCTTTTGATGCCAGTTCAGTGGGTCCAGGTGATTGAGTATCAGAGTGTTCCATCTCCTTTCCCTTTGGGGTTGCTGTAGGTGATCTGGAAGTCTGGTTTTGAGACTTATTTACATGTTTTCTCATTTCGACTGGGGCGGGGTGTGGGGGGCTGTTAGCGCCTGCAGGGATTACCTCCTCTGATCTGGGAGAGGTGGGACAGGGGCTGGGAGCAGTGGTAGGGATGGTGATCCAAAAGCCCTTTCCTGTGGGCTGGGAGCAGCAGGAGGGATGGTGGCCGGGAAGCCCCTTCCTCTGGACCAGGAGCAGCGGGACTCAGTACCTTGGTCTGGTGGTCTGGTGTCCTCTGTGTCTTTGTAGTGTGGAACCAGGTGGCTGCCTGTCTGCAAGGGGGTGATTCGACGTCTTCTGCGCGACTGGGGACCTCAGTAGGGCATGCACAGACCTGCCTGTCTGCAGCAGGCTGATTCGGCGTGTTCCATGGGACTCAGGCCCTCGGTAGGGCGTGGGCAGATCTGCCTGTATGCAGCGGGGTGATTAGGCGTGTTCCCTGGTACTCAGGACCTCGGTAGGGCTTGCGCAGACCTGCCTGTCTGCAGCGGGGTGATTCAGTGTCTTCCGCGACAGAGGAGATCTTGATTGCTGTGGCTGGGCTGGGCGAGGCAGCTGGACGTAGCTCCACCTCCCAGCCGACTGGTGGGAGCCGGCAGAGCTCTCTACGCATGACTTCTGCAACGATGCCCAATACACCCAACATACAACCCCGGGGAAGGGGTGAAAAAACTACATTGAAAACTTCCATGTATAAAAGGAGAGACAGAAAACACAGCAGCCACTATCTATTGCAATGACCAGATCTTCCTGGGTAAGAAGAGCAAGAATCCCCAGGCTGGCCAGGGTGGCAGCTCCTTGTTCTGTGGAAAGAGTCTTTGTACATGGCCATCCTTGCCTCTTTCTGGGAAGTTATTCCGCATTCATGCTCCGCCATGGCCACTTCTTTCATGGATGTGGGGAGGACTCTGTAGGGAGGAAACACATTTCCAAGCCCGTTTCTGGGAGGAGGAAGAAAAAAAAGTGCTTCGAGGTTGCTGTAGGAATTGAACCATACCAGGCAGTTGCAAGTAGGGTTTAGGGGCTTAAGGGTAATATAATTCTCTCACAAATATTAGTAAGCATCCAGTGTGTTTCTGATCAATCCATGATGATTTGTATCCTTTACTTTCTAACTCTTGAGCTGTGCCCAACTCTCTCAATTATATTATAACTAACATATGCTACTTAATGTATATTGTAATATTTCGGTCCATCTCTGATTGCCCACAGGTTTGAGGTGCTCCAGGTTTTTGCTGCAAGAGACAAAGCACTTGCCAGCAATCTAATTTGTTCTCTCAGTCCTCCTTACTCTGTAACCTCAGCAACACAAAATAGCTTTTCAAGGTAAAGCAATTGGCAGTTTGACCAAATTATTTCACATTACATTACTAGGGTCACCACTTTCCCATCTGGCACCTCCAAGTCCTTGACAGCTGCCTTCCAACCTCTCTTGCTCAGCCAATTCTACTGTATGGTTTCTATTAATTTAGTTTTCCCACTTCTAGGTATGAAATTTTATGCTATTTGAGGTTTAATTCAGTTAATTGGATGGATTTTGAAAAACCCACAAAAAAGTGAAACAGCATGGGGATTTATTTTTCCCTTCTGCTTTCCCCTCTAAGGAATATTGGTGTCAGTCCCACACAGCAGTTGCTACTTCTGTCTCATTGGCCAGAATTCTGTCATATAGCTATCCATACCTGTAAGAGAGGCTTCATTTTAGGTGAATACATTGCTACTTCCACAAAATAAAAGAAGAGAGGATGGATTGCAGGTGGAAAACCACAAGCTTCTGGCACAAACAATGCATGTATCCATCATATGGGGCTTACTGGTGGCCATTGGAACAGGGATCATTGACTGGGTGTGGGGTTGGGTAAGGTAGGTACTACTTCAAGAGGGTGAGATTGTCAGAAACTGGCAGGCAGCATGCTGATTTAGAAGGAGTAAGCCCAGGACAACCCCCATCAATAGATCATCAAACTCACTCCCAACCAGGAGTGTGAAAAGACCCCTTGGAAAGCCGTTAAAGGGGTTCTGAACATATTTAAGAACTTATCTACCTAGAAGTTCAGATCTATGTTCATGTCCCTGGATCAGCCTAACTTACACACAGGAGGTCTATGTATTCTAGAACAGCCTTTGACAATACTGCTGAATGGAGACAGAGCCAATCAACACCACAGAGATATTCCATTTCCCCACACCATTTCTAAGCTTGGCCACTGGTTCCATCTTTGTCATAGAGATTCAGAAAGGAATCATAAATTTTTGCATCCTACAACTTTTAGTCTCCTCTTCCTTTCTTTTGGGAAACCATTTAAAGCAACCAGTATCTAGGCCAACCCAAAAGCTATCTCCTCCAGGGACACATTTTTCCAAACTTCTGAGTGAGAAGGCATGGCTCCTCCTTTGCTTACCATAGAGATGCCATTCACCAACCACCAGCTGCTGCAGGTGTATCTCCTTAATAGACCCAGAGTCCCTCTTTGAGTTCCTCCCAGTGCCTGACACATCATAAGTCCCCTTGTGAAAGGTTCATTGAGTTCCATTGCCAACTGGCCTTCTCCATCAAAACAAATTTTCACCTCCATTCTTCATAAACATAGAAAAGTGGTCCCTTTCACTCTCTTCCCTGAACTTCACTTTCTCTCTGAGAAAGTCAACATAAACTGTGCCATCCAAGATGGAAAACATTCTCCTGCCTTTTCAGGAAGTGCTTTAATAAGAAACAATAACAAATGGGAGAAGTCTCAGAAACCATGTCAATAATAAGTGACCTTATTATTATCATCACCAAAAAGGGTTTTCCCATATAGTGTTTTGAGTTTCCAAAGAACTTGAGTGCCAGCTATTAATTGGATCCAAATCAAAAGCCTAGCAAATATCATTTACATAATCACACAGCTATTAAAAGAAAATCCAAGAAAGATCAAAGAAAAGATAATCCATATATGTACAAAGACTGACTGTCTCCTTTGGCCAAAATAAGCAACACCTCTCACTGAAAGTAACTTCACACACAGACATATTCAAATCTTATGAATATATCAAAACATTTTCTGTCAGACCTAACAAGCTTTATGGCTATTTCCTCATCTTTAAAATGAGAAAGTTGAGCTAGATCATCTCTCAGGTCTCTTGGACTCAACAGAGATGTCATCAAATACAGTGACAGTGTCTAACTCATCAGTATATTCCCTACCTCAATTCTAAAATCACCCAAAATCTGAAACTTTTTGAGGACTAATACGATGTTACAAGTGGAAAATTCCATACTATGAAATGATTAAAAATATTGTACAGTTACCTTCATGTTATATATAGAAGGTGGATAGGAAACATAAATGAATTTTGTGTTTAGACATGCACCCCTCCCCAAAATATTTCCTGCAGCATATGCAAATATTCTAAAATCCAAAAATATCTGAGATCCAAAACACTTCTGGTCTCAAGGATTTTAGAAAAAGGATATTCAGCCTGTACTGTGAAAAGTGGGCTTCTTCCACAACATCCCATGAAACATTCCAGTGAGCAAAATGTTGCCCTTGAGAAGACAGAGACCAGAAATCTGCAGTTACAAATACTGATACCGACATCCTCCATGGTGGATCTGTGTGAAGATCTAAAAGCTTCTCCTCTGAGATTAATCCATTTCATCGGCGAGCAGCACTTGTGGCCCCGGAGACCAACTACAACAGCCAGGCCAACTGTCTGCTATCTATAATTCTCCAATTAGATCTCTATCTCTGGCAAATATCCATGATAATTTAAATTAATTTTGAGTAGCTTGAAGCTGACAGCCTTAGCATTCAAAAGAAATGCTTCTGTTACGAAGGTAATTTATTGATATCCCATTAGAATCTACTGACTTGCCAACGAATTCATCCATTATCAGTAGAGGTGACATTGCACGCCTCTTCGCAACCTCCCAAGAGGTCTTCTTTTGCAGCCTCCTGGTTGGAGGTGAGTTTGATAATATACTGGTAAAGGTGTCCTGGCAAAAGACATTTTACTTCTGTGCTCCTTAGTGAAACTTCCTAGAGCAGGCTTTTGTCTGAGGGAAGGGCATGTGTGTGTGTGAGTCCATGTGTGTGTGTATACAGTATACAGGAGCCGCACTGGGGAAGGAAGAGCTTCCTGGTTTGTGGCTGGTGTCTGAAGAGCAAACCTGCTCCTATAATATGGAAAGCCATGTGTTCTATGTCAGAGGCTCACTGTTGTAACTGGAAGTTTTTGTGTTTTGCTCTTCCTCTCCCAGGTGTGAATGAGCCCAAGGGAGTCCAAGCTGTCACTGCTGGAAGAGTACCCAATTTCCATGTCATTTGCACGGATCTTGCTGTGAAATGAACCGAGCAGGGACTTGGATACTTCTTGGCTTCCCTCGTTGAGTATTCTGAAGCCATTGTCTTGCTGTTGTTCTAATTGTGTCCTGTCCTCCTCTTGCCAAGGCAAACAGCCTCGTCTTGAGGAGACATTCCTAGGCTCATCCACCAGCCTGAACATGAACACAGGCAGAGCTGACGACCACCAGGGTTCCCAAGGGACATGGGACCTTGAGGGGTCTGGCCCTCAGGATCAGGACCTCTCATGATGCTGGTGTCCTGGAGTGAGCACCATGCCCATCACCCAGGACAATGCTGGGCTGCACCTGCCCCTCCTCTGCCAGTGGCTGCAGAACAGCCTGCAGGAGGGCGGGGATGGGCCCGAGCAGCGGCTCTGCCAGGCGGCCATCCAGAAGCTGCAGGAGTACATTCAGCTCAACTTGGCTGTGGACGAGAATCCAGTCGCCCCTGACCACAGCCCACCAGAAATGGAGATCTGCACTGTGTACCTCACCAAGCAGCTGGGGGACACAGAGACTGTGGGCCTCAGTTTTGGGAACATCCCTGTTTTCGGGGACTATGGTGAAAAGCGCAGAGGGGGCAAGAAGAGGAAAACCCACCAGGGCCCCGTGCTGGACGTGGGCTGCATCTGGGTGACAGAGCTGAGGAAGAACAGCCCAGCAGGGAAGAGCGGGAAGGTCCGGCTGCGGGACGAGATTCTCTCCCTGAATGGGCAGCTGATGGTCGGAGTCGACGTCAGTGGGGCCAGGTAAGTGAGGGGTGTGCCAGCTGGCACACACAGGGATGCACACAACCCCTGTGAGCCACTTATATCTGGATCTGCAGCTGCAGAGTTCTGGCCTCTGCTCATAAGAAGCCAATGCCCTTCATCTTCTTAAGGGAAATTATACTGAAGCGAAGCCCCAAAGGTAGGTCCTGGATGTGTTTCCATGTACCTGTCCCATATCACTAGGGACAACAGCCTCAGGGCTCCCACCAGCTTTACAGTCCAGAAACCCTACCCTAGCAGATCTACTTGAATCCTGTCAGAATGTTTACTGAATGCTTTTGAGCACAGTTCTGTTTTCTACTCATGTGGCCACCCACCATGGTAGTAGGTTAAGATTGGACATCTCTGTTGTTTCCTAGGTGAATCAGAGGGTCTCTAAGACCAGTGTCAGGTTCAGGGATTCACTAGAAGGACTCACAGAACTCAGAAGAGTTCTGACAGTTTTGGTTCATTACAGTGAAAGGAGACATTAAAATCAGCAAAGGTAAACTGTGCAGAGCAGGGTCCAGCGTGATGTGTGACAGCATGTAGAGTACTGCTGACCAGGAAGCTCACTCAAGCCATGGTGTCAGGGTTCTTCTTGGGGCTGGTTATGTGAGCATGAAGGGCCTGTGCAGCTGACCTTAGTTATTCAGTCTCTAGTCCCTCCAGAAGTTAAATTAATACCATGTGACCCAAATACCCCACCATAAATCACACTCTTAGCATATTGTGTAGTGTAGCTTAATTCCCCTCAGGTATACAGAAACACCCTTTTCAGGCAGGATACTCCAAAGGTTAGATGTGACCTCCCAGGACCTCCCAGGATTGGCCAAGGGTCATTCCTTTCTTTGGATTGTATATGGGATTGTATATCCCATACCTGCTACATGAACCCTCTTCTATGCCCCTAGAGTCCTGGCCTCCCATTGCCTCATGACGACCACAGAGTTAACAAGTCAGAAGAGACGAGCTTGATTTTTCAAGGTTCACTTCCTAGCCCTCTTGAACAGTTATAAGAAGAAACATGTATTGAACAGTGTCCACCATAGAGGACATGTGCCAACCAGTGTCTCAATACCTACCCCATCTCTCTAGAGCACAGCTTTGATGAGAAACCGTGGCCACACGTAACTTGCCCAAGATCATCTAAGTAAGAAACAGAATGAGATGTGATTCAGGGCCCAAAGTTTACTCCTAACCACTGTGGCCTGGTACATAATTTCATGGGTGATTTACAGCCAGACAAAATGCCTCCTCAGTATAATCCCAGACACCAGGGGAGAAAAAGACTAGCACAAACTAATGAGGCTTCCACCTGTCCAAACAGATGAGGAAAACAACAGTCCCTCAACTCATCTTATAGATGGCAATTCAATTTTTATATAGAATCATTAGTCCATTTCTCATTACTATAATGAAATACCTAAGGGAAGAAAAGAGTTTTCTACTTATGGAGAAAAGACTTTATCTAGTTTACAGTTCTCTAGTTTAGAGTCCAAGATCGGGTAGCCCCTTGGGTTGAGCTTCTCTTGGTCAGTGTCTTAACAGGAACACAGGTATGACGTAGAAACCTGTCACCAGACTGGAAGCCATAGGGAGACTGTGGGGTCCCCCAGGCCCTTCTGAGAGCATGTCCCCAATTGATCTAAAGACCTCCTACTAGATCGCACCTCTCAAAAGTCCACACCACTTCCCAGCACTGCCACATGAACCTTTGGGGGACAAACGTGAAAACCATGGCAGAATCCCTAGGGCAAACTTGCATCTAGGCAGGGCTTTAGGGTCAGCAGCATTCTGAGATTTAGGTATCTAAGGTGATTGGTTAAGACCCCCACTGAATGCCAAAATCCAAGAATGCTCCATTCTCTTTATATAAAATTGCATAATATTTGCCTACAACTGTGCACATCCTTCTGTATGCTGTAAATCATTATTTATAACACCTAGTCCACTGTAAATAAATGTTACATAAATAGTTCTTATACTGTATCATTTAGGAAATAATGACAAGAAAAAAATCTGTATACACTTAGTACAGATGCCATTTTTTGAATGTTCTTAAATGTTCCCTTTTTGTTTGTTGTAACTAACAGTTTCCTTTAGGACTAAAATTTTGCACCTACCTCTGTGGATTTTGTCCTAAAAAGTAGTGAGAAGTTTGCCGCCTGCTGCGCAAGCACAAGGACCCAAGTTCGATCCCCGGTACCAAAAACAAACAAACAAAAAGTAGTGAGAAGGCGTTAAGGCTATGGAGACCCCAGTGTACCCCTCTGCTCCTCAGGCAACAGCCTCTTCACTAGATGGTTGCTTATTCACACTTATTTGTAAGCAGCAGATTTTAGGGGTCAACACACCAACTTCCTAGCCACCCTGCCAGCAGGATGAATCATACACAATATGAGATGCTCTTTTGGGAAATCTAGTCTGCTTTGTCTCCTGAGTTTGATTTTGAATTCAAAACTATCTTAGATGATGTTATAGATCGAATCTTGTTCCTCACAATTCATATGTTGAAATCCTAAACCCAAATACTTCAGAATGTGACCTTATCCGGAAGTAAGGCCCCTGTAGATGTAATTAGTTAAGATGAGGTCATCCCAGAGTAGAGCGGGCCCCTAATGCAATCTGACTAGCATCCTCATAAAAGGCAAATATGGACACGGACACACAGGGAGAATGCCATGCGAAGACTGGAGTTGTGCTACCATAAGCCAAAGAATGACCAGAAGCTAAGGGAGAGAGAGCTGCACGCGGTCCTCCCCCAGCAGCAGGGGAGCATGGCCCCATGCACACCTTGCCCTTGAACTTTTAGCTTTGGAACTCTGAGATAATAAATGTTTGCTGCTTAAGTCACTCAGTTTGTGGTACTTCGCTACATCAGTCTCAAAAAACTAACACAGGTGTTCCTTTGAACCTGTTCAACTTATGTCAGTTTAATTTTCAGACAGTTTTCTCCCTGATGCAAGTTCCTCTGGAAACTTTAGAGCAGTGTAAGTATTTTTGAGAACTGCATGTGTTAAGTGTGGGAGGAGCAGGTGCAAAATGTGGAAGATGAGGTCATGGTTGGCTATTTTAAAAATTAGTTTAGGGTCAATCTAGCATGTTCATCCCTGAGGAAAGAACAGAAAATTCATAACCATGGATGGGTGTGGCAGCTCTTCTGGACCCCACATTCAGTAGGGGGCCTAAACTTAGGACTGTCCTTAAATCACAGACCCTGTTCCTGCTTTGTTAGTGGCTGGTGTAGCTAGCTAGTAGGCTCCCCAAGGAGTTCTGAAGTCCTTGTGGTTTTTTGAGTGGTGACAGCTTCCTTCTTATGTGAACTTCCAGAGAACTTTCTGGGAGCAAGAAGGATATCAGTGGTGTTTGATGTCACTTGTCCTGTCTTGCAGGCCTGACTGGTAACACATGAAAGAAAGTTCTATTTCTGAGCTCTATCACAACCACTCTGAGAAGATGGGATTTTCTGGAATGTTCTATTTACTTCTGTTTGGTGCAGGAAGAACTCGGAAGGTTTTTAGATTAGTTCCTACAAGGAATACTTTGTAACCCCAGTCACTCCCTCTGCTAGTTTTTTTTCTATAAGTAAACCAGATCTTTTCCCTGAGGACAGATTGTTCCAAATTGGTAACGAAATGTGGAATTAATTAAATGAAACCCACACACCAAAACAAAAACAAACAGACTTTTCAAAAAAGTAAAAGGGCCAACATTTCACTTTTAAAACACAGCTTGAACATTTTTATACATTAATAAATGTGAACAGAGCATAGTGCACAGGACACAAACCTCAGAGAGAGATGGCTCTGGCTTCCAGGGCTGCTTGCTGGCTCATTACCTCAGGCACCAGAGGCTAGTTGTGCATATTTCCCTAATAGGACTGTGTGATGGATGAGAGATGGTTCACTTGAGGTACTGAAGACGGCATCTGGCGCAGGGTAGGAGTTCAGTCAAAAGTAGCTTTTAACACCCCACCCAGTTGGCCTCAAGCAACCTAAACCCACAGCCCACCCTGTACCTGAGAAAATGCCTTGGAGTTCGAAAGAGAAGAGCCTGAAACTCTGTCAGCCAGTCACAAGAGAGGCAAATAATAGCATTCAGCCTGGAAACTAGGGTGATACTCAAGTTACAGGGTCCCCTTTTATCTCCAGACGATACTTTCCAAGACCTCCAGTGGACACCTGAAACCATGGGCAGTACTGAAACCTGCCTTATGATATGCTTCTTCCTACACATGCAGATCTTTTTTTAAAAATAAATTCTGTCCTACAACCCCCTCCTGTTATGCCCCCCCTCGTATACAAAAGCTTGGTTTTCATTTTTTTCTGCACATGCCTATCTATGGTAAAATTTAATGTATAAATTAGACATAGTAAGGGATTGGCCACAGTAAGTAATAATAAAATGGAACAATTATAACACCTCACTATAATAAAAGGTATGGGACTGTAGTTGCTTTCTCAACATATACTCTTTACTGTACTGTAATTTTGGATTGCAATTGACTCAGAATAACTGGAACCGTAAGTACGGGGGACTACTGTCTGGTGCAGCTGGCTCCCCGTGGATATTGACCAACTGGAAAGGGTGCCGGTGCATGCAGGAACAGGAACCTGGAGGCCCCATAGCCAGACGGCACCTTTGAGTTCCTGAAATGTGAGGAGCTATGTGGTCCCAGGGAAGAGCCAGGGTGTTGGTCAACCAGGTGGGCATCCGGGGACCCAGGGTAAGGGCACAGAGCATTGTGTGCTGTGAGGACTGGCTAAGTGTCAGTGCTGGCCAGAAGTAACCTTTAGCATAGTTCCCCACTGCCTTGAAATTGTGGGTAAAATTACATTTAGGGATGGTACAAGCTTAGACTCTGGTTACCCATGGCAACCTTGAGTTCTGTCTGGAGTACAGCAGATTTTAAACAGAGTGCCAAGAGGCTCTGAGAAGGTGTTACTTGGAGAAATGACTGCAGGTAGGAGATGGGGAGAGGAAGATGGCCAATCATA